TTTTCCACTTTCTCTGTAAATGCCCAGCTCTGTCACAAACCCAAAACAAAATACTTGGAACCTATCAGGCACCAAACCTTTAATGGTTGTCCACAAAAAGCATAACTGACATAAGAAGTTTCATTTTGATCACCAAATGGTTTGAGCTCAACGATGAAATTGGATAGGAAGATTATGAGGTCCCACGATAGTGCATCAAAATGGCGCAGTTGAATACCCACGGGCTCATATTAATGCAGGATGAGCAGTCGAGAGAGCAGAAAGTGTGTATACCAGCTCAAATGTCTTCACAGTCCGAAGAGCAAGATGCTTGTACACCAGCAATCGCACATTCTGACAACTTCGAATTTTGCTGTCTGGTTAAAGAATGATAGAATACAAGATTACGACAAGTTTTACTTTTCTCTGTTTAGGCTGTGACAATTGTTACAAAAACAACATACCATACCATACCCATGAACGGTTTAAAAAAAATCACAAAATTTTTTTTATGTTTTTGGAATGTAAATTTGAGTTTTAGAATTATAGTAGTAAAGGGTTTAAAATTTAACTCATCAATTTATATTATAGTGTATTTTTAATTTTTTGAAATATAATTTCTCAGCAAAAAAACCAGATAAATTTTTACTTTGGGTTAACACAAATGACAACTATGAAGAACAATTCAACCAATACAAACAAATAATGTGTCAACCAAGCATACTTATTTACATGTATTATTTTTCTTAGCTGGCTCACTGTGTACACTGTGTGTTTTTTGTTATCGAAATGAATTTCATAATCGTAATAATTATAATGTCAGAGTCTTTTCACTATATAATTTCATTTAAATATATCAGAAGTATTATTAATATATGTATATACTTGTATATATTTATGTACCTGTATAATAAAACAAACTACTGCTGAATATATCGCAATCACAATCCCTTTTATATCGCCACTTTTGCATAAAGTTATTAAAATAGATACTAAACTTATACCGTGACCATGGGATAGTTTGCAGCCAGTAGGGTAATTCGACTGTATCATAGCGGAGTCTTCCCAACACCGGGCCGCATTGACAGCTCACCGAGTTGAACCAAGGGTCGTAAGACCAAGATGAATAACTTAAACAAAACCACCACAAAAACAACAGCATCTACGATAACTCGACAACCACGGCAAACGACAATGGACAATGGCAACAACGACAGCACCAGTGCAGGTAAGAGGTGTTCAGGAGCTACACGAAAGTTTAGCTTCCTAGATGCCCTATCGCCAGAGGAGCGTGAGCTGTTTGAGGAGCATGCCAAAGATGATGAAGATGACATGCCCTCATGCAGCGGTGCTCAGAAGGCGACTTCTACTGCAACCTCTGCTGATGCAGTGGACACCAATAAAACTTCCCTCAGCAACTCTGATATGGGTCGGTCGCAATGGGCATATAACGGGGGTGCTCGCAAAAAGAGAAAGGGGGGAAGCAGATTAGAATAGATTAAGGGTATGAGCGGTACCAGTATTAAGTGGTACCTAAGGCACCTTCAGGAGGGAAAGGTTGCCGAAAAACTCTCCCCAGGCTGAACTACAGGTTCAGCTCGGTGGGTATGAGACCATATAAGCCTAAAACGACTACTGAGAGCGAAGCAGGAGAAAAATGCTGGATGATGAGGATGTTACTCACCCCGCCGCAAGCACGTCAAAGCATGCCACTGCTGACACCAGAGACCATGGGGAAAATTCCGAGCGAAAAGACAGGCCTACAAGGGGGGTGCTGCCCTCGTCTCTCTTTCAGATTATATGAAAAGGGTACGACAGCTCTTCAATAAGGACAAACGTACGGGCAACTATGTAGGAGGAATATAAATGCAACCTAACTTCTTACAACAAAGAGATTAGGTCTGCAAAACAAAAAAGTTTGAGGCCCTTCTGTGAAAAGGTAGGGGTGGTGGATTGAACACCAACCCCTCAAAAACCACCATCGTTCCGTCCACAAGACGAAGGTCTCTGCCAGGCCTCAGAAACTTATTCCTTGAAGGCAGAGAGTTGGAAATGACAAATATGGTAAAAAATCTGGGCCTCACGCTGGATTCAACTCTTGGGTGGAAGCAGCATGGGGACCTGACCATAGTCAAGGTTACAAAAGCACTCTTGGTGTGCAATCGACTTGCCGGACTAGGAAGTTTAAAGCTATCCTTAGTAATAAGGCGGAATGGAATGGTTCCACGCTGGACCTACTGCTAAAGGATAGCATTATCAAGTGGTACACCGACGGCTCAAAACGTTGGAGGGTATTGCTGCAGGGCCACGTACTAAGCTCTCCATACCCACGGGTAGTATTCCAAGCATACTCCAAGCGGAAGTCTACGCTATAAGTCAGTGTGTAAAGATAAACCTCTAACCTCTAACTAACCATCACAATGAAAGTATTGCCATACTCAGTGATAGATACTAAAAGCGATATCTGCTTATGAAGTTAAATAGTTACTGGTGCAGGAGTGTATAGTAAAGCTGAACAGCCAATCAGATCGTAACCAAGCCCACATTATTTAGGTGCCTGGTCACAAGGGTATAGCCGGGAAAGAACTGATTGACGAACTTGCCGATCTGCAGCTTCCACAAGAATGGTAGGACCGGAACCGTACATTGCGTTAAAGCTCCATACCATAAATTATCTGCTCAGCAATGAAAAAAGAATAGGCAGGGAGAGACATTGGCAACAACTTCCAGACATGCGCCATGCCAGGTTGCTAATGGGTAGTTACAACCTCAGCAGGCTTAAAATCGTAATCAATATCCCAAGGCGGCAATTGTAAGCTCTAGAAGCACTTACACAACAGGGGCTTGGCCTCTTGTGCAAACTGCCGGTTTTGCAACGTAGAGCTGGAAACCCCACAACACCCCATAGACTGCACAGCAGTCTGCAGACGAAGGATTAGGGCCCTTGAATTCATATTTCCGAATAGCGATCACATTACCATCATCAATGTGCTGGGGCTATGGGATTCGTTGTGACTTACGGAAGGGCATCATAAATCTTAGGTCCCAGTGTATACCTCATTTTCAAACCTAATCTCATCTAGGGATTAAGCAATGACCTTAAAATTTATTAAACAAAAACGTATAAAATTTAATTGTGTTATAATTATATATGAATACATATAAATTTTTTTGTTAACAAATTTGCATTTGGATTTCGCTGTAGGTTCGAATAGAGAAGGAAACAACAATATAAAATAGAGCCTACTCATATTGAGAAAAACATTGAATTTTGATTACTCATTGAAACCTTAACAGTCATCTTTGGTAGCGCATGTCGATAATTAAAGTGTGATTTTCAGCGGAGTTTACTCTGTTAAAAATACGACTGATTACCATAATGCATGGATAAAATGATCCGAAACTCTTTGATTTGAGAGAGCGCTGTCAAAGCAAGGATGACATGATGCGAGACTCTCTCAGTTTCGCTCATTTTTCTGTTATTCTCTTTTTTTCCTGATTATTAAAATCAGGGAATTTCTAACAGCTGATGTCAAAAAAGGCGGGATGCCAGAAATAAACCAACTAAAAATAGCTAACAAAAGCAGTGCGAAACGAAATTTCAAGGAACGACACAAATACATTTGAATAACGTGCAACTAAATTTTATTTGTTAATTTAATTTAAAACGTTCATTATAAAACCATGATCTTTTATTATAACTTGTTTTGTTTCTTTGTTATAATTTTTTTTATGCTATATGATTTTTTAAAAATTTTATAATATAAATAAACGTATATAGCGATGTATATGCGTTATATAGGCCTACTCGGGGACAGATCACCTAAAAATAATATCGAAATACAAAATACCCAAAAGTTTTTTTATAATACCCAATCCATTTTCTTTCGACAGTGGCATGATTGGCAAATGTTATAAAAAATGTGGGTTTCTCACAGTTCACAGGGGACAGCTCTCTCTCGATTCAAAGAATCTCGCATCATTTCATCCTTGGTCAAAGTCCACACTTTTTATAACATTTGATAGTGGTGCCACTAAGGAAAGAAATAAGTTTTGAGATTTTTTAATGTATTTCTTGGGTATTTTTCGGTTTCCATTTTACTACAAAATATACATAATTAAAATTAGTTTAAGTAGCCAGATATCCTATATGACGTCTAATTATATGTACATGTATATTTAAATCACAAAAGATTTTCAAAATTAACGTTTATAAGTAAATTTAACAAAATATTTTAATATTTCAAAACACTTACAAGTTTTAAATAACCTAAACATGAACCTTATTTTTATTTATACCTATACTCAATAAACAAATATCTTTTGATAATTTATTCGAAAGTCAAAGTTTGCTGGGAATTCTAACCAAAATATGTATATACGTTGACAATTGGTACTGCTAAACAAAACAATACTCTGCGACAAAATAACCGCTCTTTCTTAAGAACAAAACTATATTAAATCTCTTTAAATAAAGATTAAAAATATACGTGAAAGTCACCAAAAAATCTGATCTCACAAATTACCTACTGATTTCGCAATTTATTTCTGCGGGATTCTTAGTGTTAGTTCATTGTTTTGCTTGTCATCTGTTCAGTAGCTCATGAACTCGTTACTCGCAGCACTGAAAGTTCATGAGCTCTCTTAGAAAGCAAATAGAGGAGTTCCGTATCATTTTAAATATGGTTGCTGTTACTGTAGCCGTAACAATAAAATTTTGAACAGCTGTTAAAAAAAAAATTATGCCCTTCTCAACGTCGCATCTCCACAGACAATAGCTCTTGCTAACGAACTGTCAAATCTATTGCCATAGAGGTTGGCACAATATTTAAATGGGCATTTGTTATCATTACAAAATCTGAGCTCTTAAATTGTTTAGGAACTTTACAAGGATGACAAACATTTATTAGGAGAATGGAAAATGTAGAAAATCTACTTTTGGGCTGAATTATTTACGGAAAAATAAAATCAGATATGTCAAACCACCGAAATGATAGTTTATTGCCAGTAATAGTTGTCAAGATATTTAGTTAGACAAGTATTGGTAAAATTGCTAGCAATACAGTTTTCTCGACAACATCTATCACCTATTGAGATGCCCGTATAACAGTACCTTCACTTGGAAATTCCAAGTTGGAATCAATTATTGTTATGAAATATACAATTACAATACAGGTCGGTTTGGTAACTATTTCAAAGCTATATATATTTTTTATTAATAAATATAGCCAGGGGAGATCACAAATTAGGTAACATATATAGTGTCATTATATAGCCATCATATGTGGTGTAAAGAGAAATGGAACAATCAACTCGGCAGACAGATCGAAATCCAGTGGTAAATAATGTAATACGAATAACTATCATTGAACGCGTCTAAATAACCATATTTTAGGCAAATTATCAATTCTCAGCTGACGAAATAAGAGTATTGCGCGAATGTAATTCTGAATCTTTCCTTCAACGTTCTCTGCCTTTAGGAACTGCGTTGGGGCTTGGCGCATATTTGGCGGTGAAGAATGGTTATTTACAAGTAAGTTTTACAATATACAGGGTGGTTGACAAATCGTGCTACAAAAACATACCGTAATACATATTTTTAATTAATGTATTACAATTGTATAGCAAATTTTATTTTATTTTATATAATTTATTGTCAGAATTAATAGAATTTAACAATAATTCAATTATTGAATTAAACTATTTTTGCACTATATAATGTAAAATAAATGTGTACAAACGAATTAGTGAAGTGTTAGTGGATATAAAAGTGGAAAATATAAGTGTATAACTCATTCGAAATGGGAAAAATGCGTACTTTAAATAGTCAAAATTTTGAACTTTAAACCCAATTATCTCGAAAACTATAAGTTTCCCGCGGCTATATCTATATATATTCTTGATCTGGAGGATCTCCTCTATCCGCCCATACCCATTTTATCACCGAAAGCGTGGGACGTTATACTAAAGTTTTCCCCTTTTAAAAATTATGAACCGCTATGCTCGCTATGCATATGCGACACCTAATTAAAAAATTATTCATTGCGCCGGAAGGGTTGAAGTCGGGATTGTCTCGGGTCAGCTATAGTGTACCGTCCCAGGCTTTCGAGGATAAAATGGGTATAGGCGGATAGAGGAGATCCTCCAGATCAAAAATATATACAGATATAGCCGCGGGAAACTTGTAGTTTTCGAGACATTCACATTTAAAGTTGAAAATTTCAACTATTTAAAGTACGTATTTTTTCGATTTAAAATGAATTATACGCTTATATTTTTCACTTTTATATCCACTAACACTTCATTGATGCAAAAATAGCTTTATTTCAATATTTAAATCATTCTTCAAATTTATTAATTTTGACAATAATAAAAAAGTTGTAAATGTCAAAAAACCAGTGTTGCCATACTAATATATTTTGCAAACGAAGAAGATAGATAGATTAATTTTGAGGTATGCACCGCGACTTAAGGTCTATTGTGCCCTCCCCTAAGTCATATCGGATCATCTAGGCCCAGCATGTTGATAAACTCCAGAATTCTGCTGCTGGGTGCTAGTGAGGCGATACAATCGCTGTGATAAACTCCAGAATTCTGCTGCTGGGTGCTAGTGAGGCGATACAATCCCTGTGTGGAAACATGGATCCCAGGGCCTTGATTCTGCGTCTGCAGACTGCCGTGCAGTTCATCAGGCTCTATGTCGCAGAACCGGCAGTTTGCAGAAGAGGCTATATCTATGTTGAAGAGGTGCTTCTTGAGCCTGCAATGGCCGGTGTAGAACACGAAAAGTAGCCGGAATTTGTCTACCGCAAAGCGGGCCAACTCGTCAGCTAGTTTGTTTCCAGCTATACCCCTATGGCCAGGCACCCAAATAAGGTGCACTCGGTTGTGCTCTGATAGGCTGTTCAGCCGTTCTATACACTCCAGCACTAGAAGAGATCTGACCTCATAGGCAGAGATCGCTCGTAGTGCCACCTGACTATCGCAGAGTATGGCAATACTTTTATTGCGATAGTTGGAGGTTTATCCCTACACGCCGACTTATAGCATAGACCTCGGCTTGGAAAATTCTTGGGAAACTTCCCATGGGAATGGAGAGTTTGGTGCTTGGCCCAGCGATACTTGGACCAATCCACTCCTCCGTTTTCGACCCGTCGGTGTACCACTTGATAGTGCTACCCCTTAGCAGCAGGTCCAGTGAAGAGTCATTCCATTCAGACTTGCTGCCAAGGGTAACTTTGAACTTCCTGCTGAAGTTTACTTCTTTGGTAATGCTATCCCTTTGGAGAAGGGCTAGTGGTATTTCCTCACTTAGCTGATGAAATTACCTTCCCTTTGCTAGCTCCCTCTGATGTCATTTGGAGCAGAGTTCGTTTTGCAGTCTGTTTGATTACCAGGTGTAGCGGTGAAAGTTCTAGCATGACTTCCAGTGCTGCGGTAGGATACGTTCGCATTGCTCCCGACGCGCAGATGCAGGCAAGTCTTTGCAGCTTCGACAGTTTAAGTCCTACCGAAGTCTGCGATGCTTTAGAACCCCACGATACCGCTCCATACGTGATAATCGGTCTCACGATCATGGTGTACATCCACCTGATTGTCCTTGGGGAGCACCCCCAGGATTTTCCAGCAAGTCGGTTGCACACCATGAGTGCTTTTGTAGCTTTGGTTAGGGTCTGGTCCACTTGCTGATTCCTGTGGGCAACCTCTTGTTGTGCCAAGACGAATTTTGGTATCTCCTACTGCGGTTTCCGCTACCCTAGTGCGCAGTACGGCTGCGATCCTTTTCTCCAGTGCTATTGACACGCTTTCATGAGACGTATTGTCAAAGGCACCTTCGATATCAAGGAAGGCGCATAACATCACCTCGCCCATCTAACGAATTCTGGATCTCCGAGGTTAGCTGATACAGAGCAGTGTTTGTTGATATGCCTGCTCTGTAAGCATGTTGCTTCGCATGAAGCGGTGAAGCCTTCCGCACCTTTGATCGTATTTCGTAGTCTATGATCTTTTCCATACTCTTAAGCAGGAAGGAAGTAAGACTAATTGGCCTGAAGGACTTCGCCAATGAGTAGTCTTTCCTTCCTACTTTGGGTATGAAGATCACCTTTGCAGTGCGCCATGGTTCTGGGATATATGCCAGCGCTAGGCTATCCCTCATCAGCCGAACAAGGTAGGGCAGTAGTACCTGCTCCCCCTGTTGCAGAAATGCTGGAAGGATGCCATCCGCACCCGGGGACTTATATTTTTCAAAGGAGGCCAAAGCTCACTTGATGGAGTCTGCAGTGAAGAGCTGTTTTGCAACCATCCAGTCTAAGCGTGATGGCCTTCGTTCGACCATAGGTCGGATTTGGTCTTATGATACGGTGATTGTGAGATCAGCCCTGCCACAGACTCGTTACTGAGAGTGATGTCCCCACGTGTGCAATAATAAAATTCTTGCTAACTATAAACTCAATAAGAGACTCACCCTGTGTGTTGCAGTCCGTGCTGCCCCATTCGATGTGGTGAGCATAAGCGTCACATCCCTGGATGAGGGGCAGCTTATTCCTTCTGCAGTGATCCACCAGGTTGCCGACTGCCTCTGGGGGTGCTGGCGGAGTTTCCCCCGGAAAATAAGCCGCTGCCACGACGAAGTCCGCTCCTTCGTCGTTCCTTGCTTGTACAGCGACCAGGTCCTGTGTTACGAACTCTGAAATGCAAAAGAAATCAATACCGTTCCTAAGTACTATGCAGACTCTAGGTCTCTCACTAGAGAGATCCCAGATTACCTTATTCGACTCCATTTTGAGGCTCCTGACCTCTCCTTTATTGACCAATTGCTCCTGGATCAGTAGTATGCCCAGTCCATCTATTGTGAACCTACTCGCGATAACCGCCGAGGCCGCGTGGCGCAGGTTCACCTGGGCAACTTCTAGGCGCGGCCCCATTACAGGATCGGCTCCTTGAGGAACTGGTCCTCATTCTCACCGTCCTCCGCGATGCCTCAAGCTAGGTTCGTGAGCCCCTCCAGAAGCTCCCGTCTTCTCGGTAGGGACCTTCACCGTTGTCTCAGCAGTGTCCGCCTGCTTTGCATCACCATCGGTGATCGTTTTCGGCTTGAATGGCCTCAAGACCACCGAGCTGAACCTATAGTTCAGGCGGAAGCTTACCCTCCGGACGAATTTGTACGATTCGTCGTCTATGCAGAGGTTGAGCCTCCACCCTGAATCCTCAGCCTTGCTGCTGATCACCCGCCAGGCCGATGTGCTGAGGCCATCGTTTTGGTTTCGGATGCCCGAGAGCAAACTTGTACGACCAGTGTACCTGGGGAGGAATACCGTCATGCTATGCATGGGCGGAATTTCGTCCCCCTTCTTTGCGCAGAGGATGGGGCCATTCCAGCCTGCCTGCTTGGGAGCGATCTCCCTCAGCCAACAAGCCGACCTTCCATCCTTGCAGTCAACCTGCAGCATGCCTCCCTTAAAATATACCCCATGGAAGGAGGCTTTGTATCCAGGCCCTCTGAATACCTCCTCCGACCCCAGCGCCTCCGCCGGGTAGTTAAGCCATACGAATGCCTTAGAGGGCATCCGCATATCTGCGCTGTCCCTCCACTGCCCGGGGGGACTTGGGACGGAGTGGTGGCCCCCGGTCGCCTGCGCGATGTTGCCCCTCTGCCGCTTGGTGTTGGGCAGCTCCTGCGCCGTCAGCTGTCCGCTTCGCCGCTTGGGTGGTCGAGGGAGCTGCTTTTTCGCAACCTCGCCCTGCGGGCTGAGGAGTTCTTCCCTCCTGGAGGTGCCTCAGGTACCACTTCAGGCTGGCACCGCTCATTCCCTTTCTTCTGGTATCGTCCTGTCCTCCCGGACACCCCGTTGATGGCAGGTGCGGTAGTCTGCCTCCCCTCTTCCTTCTCCCTGGCATGCTCTTCCAACTGCGCTCGCTCCTCTGGCGAAAGGGCGTCCAGGAAGCTGAACTTACGTTTAGTCCCTGATTCGCCCTTACCTGCACCGCTGCTTTTGTTGCTGTCCTTGTCCAATTTCGTTTGCTGATGTTGTTGCCGGTAAGGCCACCGTTACTTCCCAATGCGGCCCGGTGTTGGGAAGGCTCCGTTAGACTACAGCCGAATTTACCTGCTGGCTGCAAATCATCCAATGGGCACGGGAGTCGCATAACACTCTGGATTAGGAGGTGGCAGCTCTTGGTTGTCGCACGCATGCGGCTTCTGACAACCAGTGTAAGGGTGCAAGCACCACTCATCAGTTGGTAGATGCCGAGAATGCCTTGCGACTTAAGCCCCTGCACCACGGCAAGGTGCCTGCCATTCGCAGAGGGCAAACAAAGAAAAAAAATTATACCCCAAATACAGGAACCATAATTGTTGATGGGCACTAATAAATCTTGTAGTTTCCTTCACTTGATATACCTCGGTGTTGGACTGACCAAGGTTATTTTTTTTTTTAACTTGGCCGAAGGCCGCCAACGCCAAATGAAGTTCTGTGCGAAAAAAACTTTGGTACACCCCGCTGTTGGATCGACCAGGGTTGTTTTTTTTAA